ATCATCATCGTCATCATCGCACGCATTATCAATTAGCCACCACCCATCGTCACCATCATCCGCTCACTCACTCACCCCCTTCACCCACATTCACTCATCAATCACTCACTCGTTTTCATGCCATGATCCCGTCGTGATCATCGCCATTCTAAACACCATCGCACACCAACATCGTCATCACTATCACCGTCCCATCATGATCATCGGCGAAGCGTGTGCCTCGTCTGTGAGGACATGCGATGAACTTTCAGGCGGGAGCCCCCTCCCTATGGAACCTGCAGCTCATGTTACTAATCCGAGCGGGTCATCGGGATCCTGTAGTTAAAGTCAATTCTGGCTTTTCAAGCTTGAGTATGGAGGAAGTCTCAGACGGGAGACTCGCCTATGAGTGACTTACGAGGAAGTCTCAGGCGGGAGCCCCCCCTATGGGGCCCGCAGTCATGTTATTAATCCGAGCGGGTCATCGGAATCGTGTATCTGTCGTCGCTGCTGGCCTCTTCAAGCGGGAGTATGGAGGAAGTCTCAGGCGTGAGGTGAGTGCATTTCGAGGAGGTATCACGCGGGAGCCCCTTCCGATGGGGCCCACAGCTCATGCTGTGAATCCAGGCGGGCCATCGGAAGTCTGTAACTATTGTCGCTTCTGGCCTCTTCAAGCTGGAGTATGGTGGAAGTCTCAGGCGGGGGCCTCGTCTGTGAGTGAGTTGCGTGGATGTCTCAGGTGGAGCGGGCCATCGGAATCATTCGCCAGTCATCGGAAGCCTTCCCCCCGCCCGCACACATTCGAATCCGAGCGGGTCATCGGGACTATTTACCAGGCATAGCATTGGAGCACCCCACGGGGGCAAATCGTGAGGATGTGGAGAGGGGGCTTCGTTTGTGAGTGAAGTGCGAGCAGGTCGCAGGCGGGAGCGCCCTCCCTATGAGGGCCTGCATTTCATGTTCGGATACAAGCGGAATCAGCTTCCAAGCATAGCAGTTGAGCACCCCAAGGAGGCAAGACGTGAGGATTTCTCGAGCGGGGGCCTCGTTTGTGGGTGACTTGCCAGGAAGTCTCAGGCGGCAGCCCCCTCCCGATGGGGCCCGCAGCTCATGCTATTAATCCGAGCGGGTCATCGGGAACATCTACCTGCCGTCGGAAAGCGCGCCCTTTCTGGCCGTGGTGGCGAGGATGCCGAGGAAAATCGACATGCGTGCCCCTGCCAAAAGGAAGGAGAGGTGCATGAGGAGAACGGGAGCGATGGAGATGAGGAGATGGAGAAACAAGAACAGGTGGAGGACGAGGAGGATGAAGTAGAGAAGGAGGAGGAGGAAGGCAAGGACGAAGAGGAGGAGGAGGAGGAGGAGGAGGAGGAGGAGGGGAAGACATGGAGCGAGGATGACGAGAAGGAATGGACGGAGGGCGAGGAGGAGGAGGAGGAGGCACAACAGAGGGCGGGAGGAGGGCCTCCGCCAAGACGAACAGAAACAAACGCGAGGGGCAAGGTAACTACCTATACGACCAACCTTCGGGTGATAAGGAGGTTTGGGGGGGGAGGGGGGGAGCCAACATTTGATTCAATCGATCTCACTATCGATCTCACTCAACGAGACACCACGGGACACCACGGGACACCTGTCGATCCCACTATCGATCTCACATCGATCCCACTCAACAGGACACCACGGGACACCACGGGACACCGCGGGACACCTCTCGATCTCATTATTGGTCTCACCATCGATCTCACTCTCGATTTTACTCCACGGGACACCATAGGACACCACGGGACACCTCGGGACACCACATCGATCTCACTATCGATCTCACTATCGATATCATTCAACGGGACACCACGGGACACCACGGGACACCTGTCGATCTCACTATCGATCTCACTTTTTGGGGCACCACGGGACACCTCGGGGCACCACATCGATTTCAATATCGATCTCACTATCGACTTCACTCAACGGGACACCACGGGAAACCACGGGACACTTGCCGATCTCACTAATCGATCTCATTATCGATCTCACTGAACGGGACACCACGGGAAACCACGGGACACCTCAGGGCACCACATCGATTTCAGTATCGATCTCATTATAGATCTCACTCAACGGGACACCACGGGACACCACGGGACAACACGGGACACCGCGGGACACCACGAGCCACCTGCCGCCCGAGGAGAATCACTTGGTCCGGTCGCGGCCCAGCCACAGGAGGATTTCGGGACACGAGCGGGACACCGGCGCGACACTGCGGGCCACCGCCCGCCAGAGGAGAATCATTTGGTCCGGCCGCGGCCCAGCCACAGGAGGATTTCCTCTCGCCCGCCCACGCAGCTTCGCCTCGCCCGCACGCGCGCACGGCACGCACGACACGAACCTGAAACCGAAATCGATTTCCCGGTAGTGGGGGTCTCCGTTTCACGTCGGACTCACCCCCCAACCTCCGATACTCTCGTGTGGGGCCTTTTCGTCGGAGTGATCTGTATGGTCCTCTTCCCGCGGCCCCCCTGCGGCACTCCTGAGACAGGCGGGAAAAGAAGGGTTAGGGGATGTGATATGATCATTGCGCGCTGCGATCTCCTCCTCCTCTTCCTGTTCCTCGTCTGTTCCTCCTCCTCCTCTTCCTTCCCTTCTCGTTCCTGCTCCTCCCTTTCTCCTCCTCCTCCTCCTTTTCTCCTCCTCCTCGTCCTCGTCCTCCTCCTTCTCGTCGTCGTCCTTCTCCTTCTCCTCCTTCTCCCCCTCCCCTTCCCCCTCCCCCCCGTCCTCCACCTCCACCTCCTCCTCCTCCCCCTCCTCCTCCTCCTCCTCCTCCTCCTCCTCCTCCTCCTCCCTTGCCTCCTCCGCTCGCCCTGCACCCCCCCCGCGACCCCCGAGAATGCGATACATTTCAACAGAATAAAAGGCATTCCAACCAGTTCGGTGCCAATCCCAACCAACCGGTACCAATCACAGCCGCTTTGGAAGCTCCTTCGGGGTTCCTTCGGGGTTCCTTTGAGGTTCCTTTGAGTGCCCTCAGAGGTTTCTTAAAGGTTCCTTACCGGCTCCATACCAGCTCCTTAGAGGATCCGTAGGGGCTCCTGAGAGGAATTTCAGTGATGCTTGAAGGATTTCTGAAGGGTTCCTGCGGATGTTTGATGCTTTGGGGATTTCTGAGGATTCCTGAAGGATGCTTGGGGATGTTTGAAGGATGTATGAAGAATTCCTGTACGATTCCGAAAAGATTCCTGCGGATTCCTGCAGGATTCCGATGGGTTCCTGAAGGATTTCGATCAATTCCGGAAGGGTTCCTGTAGGATTCCCGAAAAAGGATTCCTGCGGGATTCTTGACATGTTCTTCCGGATTCCGGAGGATTCGTGACGGTTCCTGAAGGATGCGTGGAGTTTCTTGGTGGATCTAAAAGATTATTGAGGGTTCCTAAGAAGATTTCTGAAAAGGATTCCTAAGGCTTCTTCAAGGGGTCCTGGAGTATTATGGAAAGATGCCCAGGGGAATATTGAGTGATACCTCTGGATTCCTGAGGGACTCCTGAGGATTCCCGTGGGTTTCTGAGGATGTCTCGGGTTTACGGGGGATTCTGCAAGTTCCCTGGTGATTCCTGAAGTATTTTTGAGAATTGGTGACGGAGTCCTCCTCCAGAATCCTGAATCATTTTACACATCCGTACTGATGGTGGTTTCCTCATGACCTTTGAGGTTTCTTGATCGATGCCCGAGAAAAAATGTGGAAGGATTCCGGAAGGATTCCTGAAAGATCCCTGAAGATTCCCAAGGGTTCTTTTTTTCTTTCTCGATTTATTTGGATTCTTCCAGATTCTTCATAAAACCTGTGGACTCTTGAAGAGTTCCTGAAGGCTGTCTTGACGATTCCTGGGGCTTCCTGAGGGTTTCTTTGGTTTCCTGGGGAATCCTCAGGATTTCGAGCGTGTCTTATGGATTCCTGAAGCATTCCTGAATGATTCTTCAAGGATTTCTGAGGATGCCTGAGGATCCCTCAGTTTTCCGATCGTTTCCTCGAGGACTCTTGACATTCTTGAGGTGTTCTTCCGGAGTCCTAAGTCATCATATATAATCGCTTGAATGGTTACTGTTGAACGGTTCTTAAAAGAGTCCCAGGGTTCCTGATGATTCCAGGCAGGATTCGCGCGCGAGGAGAAATGCGGCACGATGAAGAGAAAGAGGAAGAGGAGGAGGAGGAGGAGGAAGAGAAGGAAGACGAGGAGGAGGAGGGAGGGGGCAAGAAAGGAGGAGGGAAGGAATGGACGATGACAAAGAGGATGGGGAGTCGGGCTTGGAGAGATGTTGTGAAAGGTCGGTGGGCATGTGTTGTGAATATATGCTGATGTGTTGGGTTGATGCTGTGTTGTTTTGAGGTGCTATGCGCTGTGGGGGGATAGTGTTTCACGACAGCACAGCTCCCACATGCCAGAACGTATGCTTGTACCAATTCCAGCTGGGGCACTCATGTTGTCTCCCAGAATGAGTGTGTATTCCTCAGACGCTGATTCGATGTCCGAACCGTTTTAACACGCTGTGCATGTAGAACCCGAGTGTCGACTCAAGATGGCTGGTTCTACTTGGTGCCCGTCGTTTTTTTTTTCGGGCTGGTGGAGAATTAGCCTGGTCAGTTTGGCTTGGAACCGGCAAGGTCAGCTTTACTCAGGAGAGGAAAAACACACACAGACACAATGAATCGTCGATCCCCAGGAAAATATGGGAACATATGGGAAGTGGGGGGGGGAAGACAGAAACCCAGAAAATATGGGAAAATATGGGGAATCTTTTTATTTGTGTGTATTTATTTGTGTGTCCCAGGGCCCCTTCATTTACTTGGAACAGGTCGGTTCGGATCGATCCGACATGCGCGTCCCCCCCCCCGCCTCGCCTTCCACCCCCCCCCCGCGGCGCGCGCGCCCCCCCCCCTCTGGGGCCCGCCGAGGCCCCGGGCACCGCACCTGCCAGAGCTGCCGCCAGTGCAGCCAGTGCGGCCCTGCCCGCGGTGGGAGCAGGACGGGGCCCGTCGGTGCGTCGCCGCCTTCCTTGGCGGCGCGCAGAGGGGGGTAGGGGGAGGGGGGAGGGCTTCTTAGAAGCACCCCTGCTTCTTAGAAGGCGCGGGCCTTCTCTACAGACGTAAGGCCGAGGCCTTCTAAGAAGCAGGGTGCTTCTAAGAAGGCTTCCCCCCTCCCCCTACCCCTTTTTGCGCGCCGCCAACTTCCGTATGACCCTTCGGTGGTTGAAAGTAGGCACCGCAGTCGCGGGAGCGTTCGTTCAGCAGTGTGCCCAGGAGGCTTCAGACCCTGGAGGGTTCCATATCTCATGGGGGCGGCGGTGATATCCGTGGCCTTTCCGCGAGTGGAATTCCACCGGCTTCCAGACCCTGGATCAGTTATCCCATGGCTCCTTATCCAATGCCCTCCCCGTAGGTCTACTTGGATTTCCAGATGCCGATGTACTTCAGGCGCGCTCCTACTTCAATCACACAGTGTTTTCCCCGAGTGGCGTTTCGCTAGAGGGGTCTGATGGAGGTTAAAGGGGGACCACAGAGATGTCCAACAGGGAGGACGGGGAGCCCGAGGACGTTAGGCCCGGCAGCCAGTGCGGCAACCGTCTCGCTCAAGATTTCCCCCAAGCTTATTCAGAACCGTACTCTCGCCGCAATGCTGCTGCATTTGTTGCCTGGACGGTGCGTCGCCGCTTTCAATATCATCGGGGACGCCTACGGCGAATCACCGCTGCCCATTACCTTTCTGGGAAACGCCGCTTTGGCCAAACGTTTGGCGAGAGGTTGGCCACGCTATCGGACTATGTATTTCCTCAGCCGTTCTGGAAACTCTTCGGGGATCACTTGGGAGAGGATCCGTGGGATCAGGAGGAGGAGGAGGAGGAAGAGGAGGAGGAGGAGGACGGGGACGAGGACGAGGACGAGGAGGAGGCCTTTTGCGAGCCTCTTGGGGCACTCCTAAACCATCCTGGGAGCTTCCTGGGGGCCTCTTGGAGGCCTCTTAGGACCCTTTGGGGGCTTGTTGGCGGCATCTTCGGCCGTCTTAGGGGGCCACTCTGAACCGACTCGGGGGCTTCTTGGGCCGCTTCAGGGCCGTTTTGGAGGCCGTCTTGGGCGTCTTGGAAGCGACTCGGGCCGCGTTTGGGCACTCTTGGGGCCGTTTTAGGGTCCCCTTGGGCCATCATGGAGCCATCTTGGAGGCCATCCTGGGGCCGTCTTGAGTGCTTCGTCGGAAGGCCGAAAAGAAGCAACTACCAGAACCCTTCAAACACCTAAAGACAATCAAGGAGGTCGGGCTCTTCGGGCCTTCCTGAAGGACCTCTGGGAAGCCTCTCGGGCTGCCTTGGCGGCCTCTTGGGCCATCTTGGGCAGTCTTTGAGACAACTTGGGGGCCATCTTGGGTTCTCTTGGAGGCCATCTGTCCCTCTTGGGGGCCACCTTTGCCGTCTTGGAAGCCATCTTGGGGCCATCGTGAGAGGGGTGGTGGTGCAATGGACCCGGAATGTTCCCGTTGGCCGGCGGGTTGGGTCGAAGGCCCCCGGGATCTTTTCAAAAGGACCAAAATCAGTCTAACATCTGGCACGCCGTGCACCCTTGTGGCAAGCACAGGGGGCTGCGGATCGAAGACGCCTACGGCGAATCCCCGCCGCTCCCTGCCTTTTTGACAGCGCCTCATTGGCCGAATGTTGTGGCCATCGCTGGGCCAAGCTATCGGACTGTGTGTTCCCCCGAGCCGTTGTGGAAGCCCTTCGTAGAACACGTGGGAGAAGAAGAGGAAGAGAGGGAGGAAAAAGAACGAGGATGCCTCTTGGGATTCTCTCGGGACACTCTTGGGGACTCCTGGGTGCTTCTGGGGGCCTCTTGGAGGCCTCTTGGGGGCCTCTGTGGGCCTCTTGGGAGCTTTCGGGGGCCTCTTCGGCAGTCTCCGTCTGACGCCGTCTGAAGCTGTCTTGGGGGCCTCTCTGGGCCGACTGGGAGCCCTCTTGGGGTGCTCCAGGGCCGTCTTGGAGGCCATCTTGGGCGTCTTGGAGGCATCTTGGGCCGTCTTGAGGCCCTCCTGGAGCGGTCTTGGGGACCTCTTGGGCCGTTTCTGGGGCCGTCTTGGAGGCCTCTTGGGCGATCTCGGGGCGATCTTTCGGGCTCTTGGGCCGTCTCGGGCCGTCGGAAGGCCGAAAAGAAGGAAATGCCAACAACCTTCACAAACCTAAAGAAAATCAATGATTTTGGCCTCTTCGGGCCTTCCTGAAGAACCTCTTGGGCGCCTCTTGGGCCGTCTTGGAGGCCTCTTGGGGGCCTCTGGGGCCGTCTTCGACCGGCATGGAGGCTTCCTGACTGAACTTGGAGGTATCTTGGACTCTCTTTGGTTGAGCGAACTTGAGGGCCATCGTAGCCGTCTTGGAGGCCATCTTGGGCCATCTTGGAGCCGTCTGGAGCAGGAAAAACCTTTGCAACCGGGTATTGCTACCCCTTCCGGGTCCTTCTGGGTGGCCGGCGGGCTGGGCCGGAGCCCCAGGGGAGAGTTGTTTTCGAAAAAAACCAAAACCAAAACGGGAAGGATCCAGCACGCCAGGCACCCTTGTGACAAGCACAGGGGGCGGCGGATCCGTGTGGCCTTCGGCTCATCCCGCCACAATGCTTGGGTTGTGGGTCTGAGGCCTCTTGTATATGTGTTGGGGTGTCTTGGGGAGCCTCTCGGGGGCCTCTTGGAGGCGGTTTGGGCGCCCCTTGGGGGCCTCTTGGGTCTTGGGGCCTCGTGGGGCATCTTTTGGACGTCTTGGAGGCTCTTGGGCGTCTTGGGGCCCCTTGGCGGCCTCTTGGGGCCTCCTGGGGGCTTCTCGGGGCACAACTATATAATATGCGGTTCGGGGTCTCGTGCTTGGGCCCCTCTTGGGGCCGTCTTGGGCCCCTACTGGGCCGTCTTGAGCGCTTTTTGGGCTATTGTGGAGCCTTCTTGGGCTGTCTTAAGGCGTTTTGGGGAGCTTCTTGGGCCGTCTTGAAGCGCCGGAAAGCCGAAAATGCGAGAAGGCCCAAATCCTTCAACAACTTTTTTGTAACATCTACCGTATTGGCCTCTTGGGGCTCTCTCGTGAGGCCTTTTGGAGCGCTCTTGGGGCCCTGGGGGCCCTCTTGGGCCGTCTTGGAACCATCGGGCGCCTTGGGATTTTCTTAGCGTCGGCAACGCGAGTATGGCGTACTTTTCGAGGGTATATGGCCTCGGGGATGCGAATATGGTGTAATGTATGAGGGTCTGTTGGCCCAGGACTGCGAGAATTGAGTAGTATACGCGGGTTTGTAGCCTCGGGGGCGCGGGCGTCGTGTAATTTAAGAGGGATTATGGCCTCGGGGGTGCGAATCTCATTGTTTGACGTGTCCCATGCCCCCCCAGAACTTCAGGCAACGCGACCGGGTCGTTGTAACTTTGATCCTTTTGGGCTCCCTCCCTCGCGCGGATTTTAACAGTTTACAGTCGGGAGCAGAAAGCAGGACCGTAACACTGGAGGCTTGAAACTGCAGCTGTTGCAGGACACAGCAGCTTCGTCCTACAGCCTGGTAGCCCCACAAGGGGGCTGGCGGATGACGGGAAGCGCGCGTAGAGCGATTCTGGCGTCGTTTCTCGTGTCTGCGGGGTCGCAAGCCCCCGCACAGCATGATCATCAGTCGATGGCGGGACTTGTCATGTTGCGTTTCTCTTCTGCGCGCCATCGCTAGCCGAAGTTCATTTCGCTGGAGGGCCGGGCGTTCGGTGGCGGCACGACCACTCCGCGTCGTCGGATGTCACTCATAACGGGAGCGAGCCGGTGCATAGCATGAGGAGCTATTACCGCGCCAGCCAGCCCCTGGCTGCCAGGGGGTGGCCATGGGTCAGGGCCCTTCTTTCGGAAGACCAGGACGTTGTGGTAAAGCTAAGCTCAGTGGATACATCTTACGGTGCGACACAAACGAACGGATGGGCTCTGGCGCACGGGTCGGTTTCTAATGCGACGTTTGGCTCGAGTCCTTTGCAGATGATTTATAGTATTGTTCCCGCTGTGTTTGTACCTGCTAAGCGGCGCCAGTCGGGGCGTACTAAGTGCTTCTTCGACGACGTGGATCTCCAGACACTTTCACGCGCGAAGTCTACACTGTATCGGAAGGCACGCATCGCGTTCACAAGGTGGCAAATATGGGTCACGTCCTCGTCTCGGTGATGCGGCTTCAATTCGGTCAACTTGCGCTGGTTCGAGGCGGACTGCGGCTCACAGTTCGGTGAACTCAGGGCGCGCGCGAACGGACACTTGACTCCGTGGGCTACGGCGACCCGCAACGTCCCACGCCCTGGCCGTGCCAGGTGATGCACCGACCATCATTTTTTCTCCAACGCCTCTGCATGTCTTCTCTGTCTCAATTCCTGGGCCCGCTGCTTGGTGACTCTGAGTATGGCTCGGCCTGCAGCCGCAGACAGGTGATTTTGAGTGTGGCTCGGCCCGTCTGTCTGCCGCCTCCCCGCATCCCACGTCGAGCGTTGCCGACTTCGCATCTGCTGGTAAGGGCGGCTCTTGTGGCACTGTACAATGCTTATCCTGCACGCTGCGCGTTGCACCGTTTGAATCCACTGCCTGCCACCAGCGCTCGGCCAGAGGGCCGTGTTCTGTCGCGCGGGCCTTCCGCCAGTGGGTGGTAGCCTCGTATGCGACGTCTGCGGATGCTCATACGCTCTAGTCGGTCCTGCGGCTGGCTATGTGGGAGCTCGCGAGACCTCTTAGAGTGGGGTTGCGTCTTCAAAAATAGCGCGCGTAGACTCGAAGAGTCGCGCGATGGACGTTACTGCGGGCCCGGAAGGACATCTCTTACCGGAGGTCTCTTTAAACACGTGTCCCGCGAACCTGGCGGATTCCCAAAATGAGCGTCTCGCCCGACACATTCTCACAGCATCGAGATCTGGGAGGTTTCGTTTAAGACGTTTTATGTTAAACATAAGCGTTTCGCTCAAGACATCCTCGGAGAATGGGGATGTTGAAATCGTTGGTC